GCGTTCACGATGTATTAGCGAAATCGAGATGGGACAACGGATCATAGAATCGGGAGCGATTGGTTTTAACCTGTTCCTTGACAGCGGCTGTGATAAGATGAAAGGCGTTGCGTATTGTCTCTCTGGCTTATTCCTCGGCATTGAAAAGACTTTTCTTTACGTCTTCTCTTTTTCCTTTTAACTTTTGCCTGCGGCCGGAAGACTTGAAGTTGGGCTTTAAGGCGTTGAGGTTCTAAATGGAACGAACCGTTCTGCTTTTTTTGCCTATGGTTTGGTTGGGGCGGGCGGGTTGGAAAATGTCCCCTCCTGTATCTCTTTTTCAAGCGTTTCGCGACATTGCCCCCCCCCCCCCCCCCCCCCCCAAAAAAAACCCATCACTCCCTCACCCAAAACCCCTCCCCATCATAAAACCCCCCCACCACCACCACACCCCTCTCACCCAAACCCGCCCCCTCCATCATCACCGCCCCCTTCACCATGGAGACCGAACCCTCCATCGACCCCCTCCTCCCACCCATGCCCTTCATACTCTTCCCCCCCACAGCAGTAAACAAATTAAACAACCTGGAGGACGCCATCGCAGGCAGGGCCACGCCCAGCACCATCAGCGCTTCCACCCCGAGCAGGCCCATCCAGATGTGGTTGAGCAGCTGGTTCTCGTCTTGGGCGGAGAGGCGGGCGGAGAGGCGGGAGGCGAGGTTGATGTCGAGGATCATGGTTGTTGTGTGATGGTTATGGTTATGGGTGGTGGTGGGGGGGGGGTTGTGGGTGTAGTTTTGAGACGGTGGGGGGGTTTGGTGATGGGGGTTAGAGTGGTTTTTTGAGACGGCGGGAGAGGGAGTTGAGATCGGAGATTTAGAACTCGGCGGGGATGGGCTGTTGATGGTTGTGTTGTGGCTTTTGCTAGGTGCTCGTTCTTCTCTGGGAGACTCGGAAACGGTGGGTGAAGGTGAGGGTGAGGGTGATGGCGGCGGGGCGGTGAGGGCTCGAATCGTGGAGCATCCAATGGGTGGGGGATGCGGATGCCGCTACGCCAGGCTTGGGCTAGGTGCTGGTACGGCGTCGTTGTGGTCCGGTCAAGCGCAGAAATGTGATGGCGCTGGCAATTTCCCGTTAGCCAAATCGAGGGTATGAAGCTTTGACTTGGGGGTAATCTCGTTCACCTGAGTGTTCGAGGATGTTGAGTAAGATAGGTAGGGGAAGGTCGGGAGGTGGGATGTGTTGGCGCCGGGGTGGCCGGGGTTTAGTAACCCCTGCGCAAAATGCACAAGCAAGGACTCTGGATGCGGTGAGGCCTAAGAGTGGAGGGCAGGATGTCCACACACCGCCATTAGGGCGATAGAGCGAGAGTGCGAACCCTCTGATGATTGATCGATGGGTGGTAGTAGTGGAATTGAAGAGCACGGTGACAACAGCCCCCTGCAATTTTGCAAAGCTTGTTTAGGTATCGAGTCAGATCTCAGCGACGCATCGGTGCCAGTACCTCTCTTGGAAGGCATATGTGAAATCTGGATTTGTCATGGGAAGGGCTGGTTTATCTCAATCTGCGCAGCCTTTGTCCCTGTGCCGGCCCAGTTGAGGCCAACATGGCCATTTACCCGATTTGGGTTTAAAAGTTAATATGGGCGTCATCCGTGACAAGCCTCGGACTGCAGAGTCACTTTTGGAGCCGAAAACTTTGGCTTGGCATGAAAGCTGAGGGTATTGATGGATCATCTTCACGGATCTCTTCGTGGCCCTCACTGGTCCCTTGGAACATCCGACTCCTCCTGTGGTCCATGACGAGATCCCTTGATGTGAGGAGACCCACGGCGCTTTTCTCATCTTGTAATGACAACAAGTACCGGCCATCGCAGCATGTTGATTCAGCTAGACCAAGGAAACAATTTAAAACCGGTCATCTGCATCCCGTAGCGTACCAGCTGCAGTAAGCCTCTCATTCCCCCATATCCTAGAATAACCGGGCGTATCTCGTCTCCTTTGTTCCCGACACTGCCACAAAGGAGAACACAGTGATTAGGTAGGTACCTGGGTACACGTAGGTAGGTAGCTTGTGACTATTCACAATTGTCTCAACTTCAAGTCACCGGCCATGGAGCAAGTGGTAGATACCTCAAGTACCAAATTGGACTGTACAATCTCTATTGATTAAGAAACCCTCCCTGCCGTGTCTGATTTACCCGTGCCTAACTTCCCATCAGCATTATATTATGGTGATGTCTTGGGTCTCTAGGCCCGGGGACATAGACATCATGGATGCCCGGGCATTCTCGTCATGAAGTCCACAAAGGCATGTACAAAAATAGCTGGAGTTCCTTGTACTCATAACTCAATGCAGTTTTGCTTCCGAGGCTCTGATACTATTGTTGCCGCCAATCAAAAGCACCGCGCAACAGTTCCCCATGTAGGGAGTTTTTGAAAGTATCTATCCACACTCTAGCTTCGCGTCACTTAGCCCGTACCCTGCCCAAGGCCAACCTTGCCATGTCGACCACGCCATCGACCCGTAGCCGGACGCCGTCTCCGTTCCCCTTAGACACGCCTGACACGCCTGACACGCCTGACACGCCTGACACGCCTGACACGCCTGACACGCCCGACTTCCATCCCGGCATGGGTGATCCAATCGATAAAATACTTTCGATTTGGTGGATCCTTGCTACCTACTCGCTTTGGAAGTTGACCTATGGTCTGGTCCTGTTATTTGCGGAAGTTCTACCTGTCTTGGTTCGGGCGCTGGGCCCGCTCTATTCGGTCTTGTCCCTGCTGGGGGTCTTGTATCTCACTTTGAGACTGGTTTGGGCCGTGTACCAGGACTTCCTAGCGCTGATGAGAACAAAAGTGGTGGGGGGGCCTCTGGCGTTGCTCATGGCCTGGTGCGCATTGCTCCTGTGGTTGACCATAGTCGATAAGCCTTGCGTCGCCGGTGCTCTTCTTGGAAACTTCCTCCATTATATTTCTACCTATCAGTGCCTCCCAACATCTCTCAGGGCCTTCCTGCAGACTCTCTTGCGCTGGCTCTGCAAACTGCACAATGCCCCCCCTCGGGTGGCTCGTTGGCTCGGCAGCCCCTCCAACCCGCTCAAGCCCCTCGGCCGGGTCTGCCGATGGCCTTTAATTGCCTACGCCGCATGGCTGGGCGTCACCTATACCACCTTGCTCGTCTATTACCACCGCCGGGACGCACTATCGACTGTGGTTTGCGCTACGCCTTACGTTGTCCCCCAGCTCGTGCTATGCCAGCCGCTGGGGTTGCCAACCCCCGACCTCCTGGCTGGGATACCGCAGGCCCGAGGGGGGTTTGCTGGTGCCATGAAGCAGGTCGGCTAAGACTACAGCCTCGTGCCTCAGATGTCGGATCCTCGAATCTCCACAGCCGTGGTGGTTTTTAGTTCTTACGTTGAAACCAGCCAACTACCAGAGGAGGATAAACTCGAACTAGGAAAGGCATTGGGTTCTCTGCGAGCAGATACAGATACTACAGCCCAGTATGTCACCGGTCATCACCCATCTGCACACCACTTCCACTAACACGTTATATTCCAGGCTATTTGCGAGCTTCACGAATTCCATTAATGATACCGTTGGTGTCATAAGGGCGCAGGACATATCCACCATCAGCGTGCTCGATAGAGTTTCGCAAGAGACCCAAGTCCAAGTGAAACCACAAGAGGCGGCTGCGACGGGTCTAGATCGTGTACTAGCGGCTATACACCCGTTGGCGGGACTGACGCCGGATATATCGCCCGGGCCTGGAAGTAAAGTGGTTGATCAAAAATACCGAGGATTACTTTGCGGAACGAATCGACCAGCTGCTCCATGAAGCAGATGCTCTCTTGACCATACTCCGTAACATCCACGCCAACCTCGATCACATCAAAACCTCAGCCATCTCTATCAAGGGGCTCAGCAGCACCTCCACTCACACCGTCCTCCAAGACCTGTGGGTCTTCATCGTGGGAAAAGAAACCGGGGCGGAGATCAAGGGGCACAAGAAGCTGCTGGGGAAAATCCCTCTCTTTTACGACGCCGCAAGTGCTGCGGTGCGAGATATCCAAAGCTCGCTTCTCCAGGCCAAGGCCGAGATGAAATCCCTCGCTTCATTACCACACATAAAGGGGGGACATTCTCCTCGAAGTATGCCCCCCTCAACTCGTCGCAACCACGCTGCGGAGGTCCGCGGAGGTGCTGGAGGCGAGCACGCAGAAGTTCGAAGGGAAGAGTGCTAGGATTGCTGAGATTATTGCCAAGCAGAAGAAGGGAGTGGCTTAGGGGGGTTTCGGCGTTGGGAACTGGAACCTGGAGGAGTGTACTGTGTGCCCTGGGTTCTGTTGGGGAAGAAGAGGGTGCTAAGGGATGTGACGGTGAGTTTGGGGTTTGACTTTCCCGTCTCCCTGACTTGCGTGGCCCGAGGAAGCAGTTGCTACGGCCACAGGGCGCCTTAGGCAAGACCACAGCGTTACGGATGAATTGTTCAGACTTTAGCCATCGTTTTATCATTCCTGCCCTGGAAGTTCGCGTCAAGTTTAGCGTACTAGAAGATAAATACAAAACTAGGAAGTGTTGCAATTCTTATAAGAGTACACCACTACCGTAGGCCGGTAGTTCCCAGTAACTCGATACTAGTAATACTATATCAGATTGCCTAATCAGAGCTACCAACATTTAACCCCAATTATCAATGTACTAAGCCACTCTCCTAGGTCGCGATTATAGAAGTTTACCAACGTTGTTGATTGAAGCGAAGCTTCAATTGATGAGTCTCTGAGATGTACAATGTAGATTGAGGAAGCGAAGAAGGAACGCTTCGTTTCATTTACTGGGCTCATCCTCCAGAGTTTCTCGAGGAGCGATTGGATGCCACAGAACTGGCGTACTTAGCGTACTTGGCGTTGTGGCTCCGTGGCTCGACACATCGGGCGGGTGGGGGTTGGGGGTGACGTTGGGAGCGCCGCAGGCAAAAAAGCAGGGGGTCCAGGGGCGGCAGCCCCCTGGTACATCTGTAGAAGCTTATGAAATTTGATAATAGTTGATGCGGTTGACAACGTAGTTGAACGTGATTGACGTAGTTGGACTTGATCGTAGTTGACGCAGTTGACGCAGTTGACGCAGTTGACGCAGTTGACGCAGTTGACGCAGTTGTCGCAGTTGTCGCAGTTGTCGCAGTTGTCGCAGTTGTCGCAGTTGTCGCAGTTGTCGCAGTTGTCGCAGTTGTCGCAGTTGTCGCAGTTGTCGCAGTTGTCGCAGTTGTCGCAGTTGTCGCAGTTGTCGCAGTTGAACGTAGTCAACGTAGTCGACGCAGCTCAGCTTCAACGCGATTGAAGCTCAAGCAGTTGACGTAGTATATAACCATCAGACTCTGATTGTAGGGAATACCAGGTATCGCGATAGCGTTAGAAGCACAGGGCAAATCCCTTCTCTCTGGAGGGACGTGCTACATTCGTGGTTCAATTGGATCATGTTCTTCTATCTGGAAATGAGGGGGGCGCAGATTTTGCAGCCGGGGTTGTCGTCCCCGAGGTCCAGGACCACGTGACGACTGCCCCAGCGGTGGATCCCCCCCTGCCCTCCGTCACGTCCCCCTGCGAGGACGTAACTCTGGCGTAGATGTTCCGACACTGATCTTCCACCGCCCGACTGGGCACTGCGGACGCGCAGTTGGGGACGCCCGGTAGCGCAACGGTATAGCAATGCCTGTTGCTAAACTAGATAGTGACCTCGTGACTGTAACTGTCTAACCTGGGTAGATACTCTCAAGATCAAGAGGCCAGCCCCATACTCAAGACTGCGATACCCCCCTAAGTTCTCAAGAAGCCGACTACCACGACCGAGAAGCCGACAAGTCTCAAGAGATTACAAGTTCGAATCAAGATACTAACCCTCTATAAAAATTGGCCTCTCAATCGACAAGGACGTAGGCGCAGCCGCCATTGTAAGACAACTGTTAACCACCCCCCAAAGACAACAGAGGACGCGATTGAACTACGTAATTGAACTGCGAATGCGGCTTCCGTCCGGTGTATCGTACTTGCCTTTTGCAAGACTTTTTGTGCGTGGGGTGCTAAAATCGCCCACAAATTGACCGACCAAACCTCTTGCACAAATTTTCCTCCACATCGCACTACTGTTGCCCATCGCAATTGATACCATCTACAGTACAACTCTGATCGCATATGCAAGTCGTCCATATTGAACGAGCTACGCAGTATCGCTAACCGTCGCCTAGTCACAACGATGGCAACCGTCGCACCGGGCGGGATGCCCCCGCCCCCACCTCCGGGCGGCAATGCGAGGCAGCCGCCTTCTGATGCACCGGACCCTCCTGATGGCGAGACCCGTCAGTACCGCAAGTGTAAGAGAACGCTTGATATGGCTCAGTTCGTCGGCAAGCGTGGTGGTTCGACAGTGAACTGTTCGGATTGCCGTGGAGTTGCAGCGGCGCAGGTGTCTTACCACCCAGTTAACAACCCGTGTCCACCGTCTAACAGTGCCGTAGAAAGCTCGATCCAGTACCGCGGTTAGCATGCTCGCGAGGATCTCTGGAAGCATCACTGGTAAGCGTACCGTTGGCGATGCCGACTTGTCGTCGCCAGAAAAGTCTAGAATCGGCCGTTCCATGCCGGCGCGCCCATAAGTGCAAGGCTTCTTCGACACTCCCATCACCCCGCGGCCGGAATCGCCAGCTATCTCGCCGCCCGGCCCTGCAGTTCCTCGGTTGATGGCATCCTTGCAGAATCTACGGCGCTCGGAGGCGCCATCACCATTACCGGTACGGTATCCGACCGTCGGCGTACAGGCAGGTCATCAAGTTGTGGGTTAGTCGCCCCGACCTGCTGTTCCCCCCCCTTCAGCCCAACCGCAAACACCACGCCCACGGCCTTTACAATACATCTCGCGAGCGGCCTCCCGTGCGGCATCTTCGGTTGTTCGCCATACCCCTCGCTTTCTTCGCCGTGGTCAATTCTCGCAGGATTCGCCAACCACCGCATCCTCCCGACGTGAACTCTCTACTATTGAACGTCGTCATCGCGTACAGCGCCGTCAAGGCATAGCTCCGTCGGCTACACCCCCTCTCGATGAGCTGATCCGACGTGCCCATGGTTACGAAGACGACAACGAGCATCACGACCCGGGTAATAGTCCGGGAGACAGCCCGGGAGACAGCTCGGGAGACAGCCCGGGAGATAGCCCGGAAAATAGCCCGGGTGATGGTCTGGGTGACGACCCCCAGCCCAGCGACAATGTGGGTATTGCTCCCGGTAGTGCTGGCGATCCCTACTTTGTCTGCAACGCATGTGGTATGGCTCGGCCTCTGAACCTCCTTGACGCAGCTACTGGCTTTTGCTTTTACTGTATCAATGCTAGCGTAGATAGAGATCCTTTTGCTCAATTCAAGACTTGTCTACGCTGTTTGGTGGATCGCGAGCGGTCTGAGTTCCGCGATGCTCATGGCGAAGGGCAGGACGTGTGTCGCCTTTGTACGGCTCAATTCGACCCAGCATCGTCAGTCACCAGTCTCAGCTCTCTCGGCTCTCTACCGGATATGCTATCGTCCAGCAACCCGTTCAGTACGCCCACTACACCGTCGCAGATGCTACCTCTCCGCCGGGGGCCGATTGGACGCCGGAGCTCTGTTCAGTCAGCGGCATCCTCTCCATCTCAGTCTCAGAGTCAACTTCAACTTCCAGCGGTAGAGCCTGTCCCCAACCCGGTCTTTGATGGGGACCTATCGGCCGACGCTATCACGATGGAAGATAGGGTCCGGCTGCAGAAGTTCAATGCCGAGATGGCCAAGGAGGCTATGGTCGAATGCACTCTGTGTAAACAGAAGTGGTTTGACGTGAAGCTACAGGGAGAGATCTGCACTGGCTGTATAAGTCGTGATAGGGCGAGGCGCCCAGAAGAGCCGCTGTTTTATTCGGCCGACAACGATCTTGACTTCGGCGATGTCCCCCTGACTTACCACCGCTCTCCCAGATTGAGGAGCAGCTCATTGCGCGCGTCCATGTCCATGTGGAGGTCTTCCTCTACCGGGGCCAACAATACAAATACCGCGGGCATGTTGTTGATTCCTCCGCGATGTCGGCAAAGTCTACAACCAGTTACCACGGCTACCTCGGGAGCTGGATGTCATCGTCTTGCGGCCTACCAACTTCGCCCAGCAGGACCATGTTATACGTCAGTTCCGTTGTCGCTTTTTTGTCAAACAGAGCAACATTCGTCAGTGGCTAGCCTTCCTCAAGGCGAACCACCCTGCTTACCGCGACATCGTCATCAGCGAGGAGAGGCTGAGCCAACTTCCGGAGGATGGTGGTAGTGTGATGGACGAGTTCCCAGTCGAGGATGTTGATCCTGTTGATATCGAGGATGTGGTCGCTGAAGCCAACGACGAGTCTCACTTGGTTGACGAAGCCGCCGTACCCAATATCGTTGCTGAGGAGGCCAATCTTGATCAGCTCCGGGAACAGATCAACGCTCAGCAACAGTCGCAGCACCCCGAACAACCGCCTATTCAGCCTTACATTGAGATGGGCGAGATTCGCCGGACACCGTTGAATGAGTTCAACCGGTCCCAACCCCTGTTGTCGTGGGCTTTTCCCACACTCTTTCCCTATGGTCGAGCCGAGTTCGTTGCGCCCCGGGTGCGGTCCATCACCTATAGAGAGTATCTCTACCATGCGATGTGGCATCGAGATGGACGTTTCGCCCGGCATCCGCGCTTCCGTTTCGTAGCGTTCAATACTGTGATGCGGTCGACCGTCAATGCGAAGAGTTCCTATTTCGTTCGACACACCCACCAAACCCAGGTGGATCTCGACGAGCTACGGGCAGCGTTTGATTCCAATGCCCCTGAGGCGCAACGTCTTCTTAACTCCATTGTCAAGCACGCGGATACCCTCCGTGGTACTCGGGCTTACTGGACTGGCAAGGGCCATCAGCTCACTGCCCACGTCTATGCCCTGGGGATGCCGGCGATGTTCATGACTTTCAGCCCGGCTGATTTGCACTGGGATAGCCTTGCGCGACATATGCCGCGTTACGACGAGTGGAAGCAGGGCACTGAACGGGCGCGGCAGCATATCTCATGGCAGAACCTCCAGGACAACCCATACATTGCGGCTTACCACTTCTTCAAGCGGTACAACGCTTTTAGAGACCACGTATTGATCCCCAAGTTTGGCATCGTCGACTATTGGGGCCGCTTCGAGTGGCACGCCCGTGGTAGCTCTCACCATCACGGGTTATACTGGTGTGCTGGCAGTGTTCAGCCCGACTTGGAGGATGATGAAGGGCGGGCTGAGTTTGCCCGCCGCTGGGGTTTCTCTATCACGGCGATGAACCCCGAACCGAACAGGGTGATGATGCAAGGGGAGGCGAACGTATTGATCATCGAGTTGTTTAAGCACGAACAGCCAACCTTTGATACCCTGTCCAGGATCGTCAACAGGGTCCAGCGGCACGCTTGCAGCGAGGCATACTGTCTACGCCGAAAGAAGCTACCTGGTGGTGTTCTTTCTATCGAACCGGTCTGTCGGTTCTACTTCCCTCGTAGCCACCACGAAGAGGCCTACGTCACCCGTGACATGAACCCGGCCTACTGGATGTTTGACGGCGCCCGGAACGATTCGCGTCTTAACGGTTACAACCGTACTATTACTCTTGGCTGGCTTGCCAACACCGACATCAACCCCTGTACCAGCGTTGACGCAGTGCTCAACTACGTCGCTAAATACTGCTCCAAGGCGGAGACCAAGAGCAAATCATACCAGGAGCTCGCGAGCGAGCTCCTGCCCCGGATTTCGAACCGTGATCCGCTAGTTTCGTTTGCTTCGAAGCTTATGAACAAGCTGATTTCTGAGCGAGACTGGTCAGCGCAGGAGATTTGTCACCTCCTGATGCATCTTCCTCTCCAAAAAGGTACTCGGGTGGTTCGGACTGTGGATTGTCGTCCGTATAACCCCCATCAGGTCACCATGATTCGACCAGAGAACCAGGCGGTTTCCGTACGGTCCCAGTACCAGAAGTATCTCGAACGACTGGAGCTATGGGACGGACGACATTACCTACTTTGACTTTCTGTCGAACATCGACTGGTCCCGGGGCCCGCAGTCGTGGCGTCGGATTCGACGTGCAAAGCCACGGGTGTTGAACTACTTTCCACGTTACAAGTCTGACCCAGGGGCGGCTGACAATCAGTTCGAGGACTTTTGTCGGGTCAAGTTGATGCTCAACCACGTCCATCGTAACCCCGAGGATTTGAAGACGGTCGATGGCTCTGTCTTTGACACTTATCGCCAGGCGTACGAGTACTGCCTCGAGATCCACCGTCACCCGGACGACTATTACGGCGAGGTGTTTGTACCGGAGGCGGAGGATGTCTTCGAAGATGCCCCTGACGAGGAGCCCCAACCTCGAGACTGGGAGGAACTGGCCGCCGAGCTGCCCAATCGCCCGGTTGAGCAGGAGGATATCGACATCCTCGGCAACCGTGACATCGATATACTGCATTCGTGGGACCCTCACGTTGGTCGTTACTTTGACCTTGAACCCATCGGGGCAAAGTTCTGGAGGCTCAAGAAGGCCGAACATGGTGTGGGTGAAGTGGAGGTTGGAGACTTCTCTGCGAGTGCGCCCGATAGTCTCAACACTGAACAGCGTATGATATTCGACATGTTCGAGGCACACTACAAAGCCTACCTGACCGGCGACAACCCGGATCCTATCCTTCTGCAGGTCGACGGTAGAGGTGGTACCGGAAAGTCGCATGTTATCCGCCTCCTCTCTGCCCGGCTCGACCAGCTTGCGCGGGCTCGTGGCTATTCTTCGCCCGTTGTTCGGGCTGCTCCGACTGGCGTTGCCGCCAACAATATCGCTGACAGTACTTTGCATTCGCTGCTACGGTTACCGGTGAGCAAGAAGGGCGACATCAACAACCTCAACGCCACTGAGCTTGGTAACTTGCAGGCCAAACTCAAGGACGTCCTCTACTTCATCATCGACGAGAAGTCCATGATTGGGCTCCGGCTTCTGGCATCGATCAGCTACAGGATGGGCGAGATCTGGCCCCGGTACCGTGATCAGCCGTTTGGTGGCCGCAGCGTGGTCCTGATCGGCGACTTCTTTCAGCTACCCCCTGTTGCGGAGAGGGCGCTGTATAGCAACAACGCTGTGCTGGGTGCAGTCTAGATCGCTGGTCGCAACATATACCGGGCGTTCGACCGTACCATCGAGCTCAAAGAGGTTGTCAGACAGCAGGGCGAAACACAGGTGGGCTCCAGGAATGCGTTGGACGGTTTGCGCCATAACAACCCTACGGTTCAGCAATGGAGACTGTTGTCGACCCGGGCGCAGGCGGCATTGTCACTTGAGGAGGTCAGGTCGTTTGACGATGCCCTTCGTATCTATCCGCGGAACAGCCAGGTCAACGACTATAACCTTACCCACCTTAGGGTCTGAACCTGCCCTGTTACCAAGCTGTCGCTGACAATACTGGCCCAAAGGCTAGCGAAGTTGAGGCGGCGGACGCTGGCAATTTCCACAAGAAGATCCCCTTGGTGATTGGTGCCCGGGTCATGCTGACAGAGAACATCTGGATCGACAAGGGTCTCGTCAACGGGTCTATTGGCACGATCTACGACTTCGCGTGGCGGACTGGCGCCGATACCAGCACGCAGCCTCCTTTTGTTGTGCTAATCAAGTTTGATCAGTACGTTGGTCCTCCCTGTTTCGACGACCCCGAGCTCGCTGGCGTGGTCCCCATCTTTCGCAGCAAGAGGGACTTCCTCAGGGGTAATACCAACTGTACACGCACGCAGTTCCCTCTGACGATCGCCTACGCCATCACGGTACACAAGTCGCAGGGTGCAACGCTTGGCAGGGCTGTACTGTATATCTCAGACAGGGATTTCACGGCAGGGCTTACGTACGTCGCCGTCAGCCGCGTCAAGACCCTCCAGGGCGTCATGTTTGACAGCACATTCGACTTGCAGGCTCTGCGCATTCAAGCCAACGCCAACCACGCGGCGCGCGCTGAGGATATCGCCCGATGTCTTCTGCAGTTGGTTACGCCTGCGCAGGTGGAAGTTTACGCTCAGCAGTGGGACATTTATGATGCGTAGATGATTGCTGTTTATGTAGTTCTAGCGTACGGAATACATCTCTCTCTTCGGAATGGCTGACAGTGTATGTGAGGCTGGCTATACTAGTAAGTTGACGGCCAAAGGCCGTCGACGGCACTAGCGTAGCAGGGCGTCGGCCCTGCGCGATGGCTGGTCGTCGTATCTGGTGGTATGGCGAGGGCGGTCGTCGGCTCGGTGGTTGGGTGGATGTACTGACTGTGGCTGTGGCGGGATGGACGGTGGGTATCGCCAAGCTTCGCTTCACACTTACTGGGGCAGGCCGTGGGCGTGGGTGGCACAGTCAGGTATTTTAACCTCTATAGTTTCGAAAAACGTACGCTCCATTTCACCGAGGGGTAGATTAAGCTGGATGGTTGTAGTAAGAGAATAGTATTTATAAACTCCGTTCTGGGAGCGATAACTGCTCGCCGGCTTTAAAGACCGCCACTGCTGTTGAGGATGATATCGAGGCGACCCGAATCACCATTGCGCGAACGATCAGACACTAGCCGAGGACGTCGACAAGCCCTTACAAGAGATTGATGACATTTAAAGGTTTCCTAACGCCACTAAGGGTCATCGACCAGGACATTCCCCCCCGCCGTGATATCTCCGACATGCCGTGGGGCCATTTAAAGACAAAAAAGGACGATGTCCTCCATACCCCTGAGAGTGGCGTCGACCGCTGTGCGGGACATCCTGTCAGCGCTTTTCTCCTCTATCCAGGCTAAGCGGAACCACCTCAACTTAGAGTGCTTGCAGCTCGCCGCCTTACTCAAACAGTCCCCGCTCGATGCCATGACACTCGCCCTCCGGGGTTCCTTAAATAAGCTGGAGGCTAGCAAGCAGAAGCTCCAAATCGGCAGCGGCACGAAAATTGTGGAAACAATCCGGCCCTGCCGGGGATACCAAGTCCTAAGGTGCTTTCCACGGCGAAGGACTCGAGGGTTGCCGGCCAGAGACGGGGGATGCATCTTTGGGTCTTGCGCTCTGGGTATCGTCCTTGTCGGTACCCCACCTGATTCGGGCGATTGCCGCATGAAACGGAAACAGTGCCACTTCTCGAGGAGGTGTGACGTGTGTCCCGGCTGATCGACGGTCCAATTGTTCGAATGGGCTTGAATGATACACGGCCCCTGATGAGCAACTTCCCCGCTTCTGTCTTAGAGTTACACAGCCGCCGTTGGTTTCTTGTGCCAGGGAATCAGAGGCCGGCTCGGCTGCACAGCTGCGACGAAGGCGAGAAGCCAGAACGACTGACTCTTGATCCCACCATTCTCTGGTCAATTGGGCTCCCCTTTGTTTCTTTTTACTCCTAGCCGATAACGGGAAGCAATGGCCTGCTCACCTGACACATTTGGGCGATAATATTTTCGCCAGGTACCTACACAGTACGAAGCACACCGGCGATAACAGGTCGTCAGAGCCTGGAAGCAGAGCAATACCCCACCTCTGCCCCACTAGCTGCGCAGGGGCCGGACATCCCCGGCTCGACCAGGTAATTTGTCACCCAAGGTTCCTACCTAACTCTCCAAGTTCTGCATCTCTTGAGCAAATTCGCGAGATCAATTGGAAAAAAATTGATTCGGCCCTACCAACTACGAGCGCAGCATTGGCTTCAATTGATGACTTTTGAACTAC